GTTATTACAGATATCTACCGCAATCTTTCGTCTATATATGCTCATCCTATCCGACGAAACTGATTCAATTGGATATCCCAAAACAAAGCATTCTATATATTTGAGCACAAAAAGTCCACAATTAGGCCTGTGGAAGAAATAGTTTAGTTAGAATAAATGACTAAGTTTAGGAAATTAAATATTGTGCTAAAAAACAAGTCACTTAAATGCGTAGCCATTGTTTGCACAGTTTAGGTAAGGTATGATCTCCTCTTTCATTTGTTCATTCCTATGTTTCCTTATATCTCCTCTAGAAGATAAAGTTGTTTTCAATAGTGCTTTTACCACAGTCAATGAAGCTTTTGCATGTGCTTTTACTTGATCCAGTGTGTGGATGTTATTGCTGCAATCATATATTTGAAATTTTCATTCAGAAATATTGACAACGAAAATGTACCAACTATTGCCCGGATATGAGCACGAAATTAATATATACTTTCATGTCCTCCAAGGACGACCAAATATAGGTGTTGTGCCATTCATATAACTTTCCATAAGAGTTCCATCTATTTTACCTCTTATGGTTCCCATTCCTGTATCAGTGTGCCATATCATTTGACGAGCACATTCTACTTCAAATTTGAAATCCATAATTGCATATTCTTTTGAAACAAGCGAACAACTATTATTCATGAGCTGCCTCTATAGTTTTAACTCTAACTCAATGTTCTGATTAAATAAATAGATATAAATTAGATTATATATATCGACTATGAAATAAAATCTATTATAGTTCATAGACTTTACTTACGGCAATATTTATGTCATGTGTTTGATCCATTAGAGTTTTCAACATGTCTCTTCCAAAGACATTGTTATTGCCATCGTCTAAGTGTGCACTGTATGACATAATTTTAATTAATTCCAAATAAATCAAAAGAGAACTTGAAGATTTGAGCTGATACAAGTAAAATTAGATTTATTACCTAGATTGATTCTCCGCTATAAAATTTCTAATTTTTATGTATCTTTGCATAGGATAGTCTTCTAGAGGACGATCTGAAGATGATGAAGACTGTATTTGTTTCCCTTTGTTTTTCTTCTCTTTTATCAACTGTTTAGAGTTCTCAATTTGTTCAGCTGTTGATATCTCATTTGGTTTATCGCAAGGAACAACACTTGTATCGAGAGGGACATCTTGTTGCATGGAATCTATGATGGCTTCCATGTTTGATTTCCATTCAGATAACGTGTTCAGTGTTTCCTGATTTTATTCGTCGACATAGGATCTCATTGAACTTAAACTGGCATCAATATAAGATTACATACCCTGATATCTCTCTTCCTGCCACTTCTGTTGCTGTTCAAAAAATTGCCTTTGGTTGTCAAGAATTATCTGATAATGATGTTGCATGTAATCTTCTTGCCATTTTTTTTGCTCCTCAAATAACTGTTTTTGGTTTTCAAGAACCGCATGGTGATGAGCTTTTGATTCATCAACAAATTCTGCCTCCAAGTTGCTATATACATCAGACACGTCTGATGCTATATGTTGCCTGTAGATACCCAACAATTCTTCCATTTTATCTTCATTTAAGAAGTTGGAGCTACTGGGAACAGAGCTAGATCCAAATACAG